TCTATCTGATCTTTTTATGTTCAAACTTATGCAATTGGAATGAAAAGAGTAATACAACCTCATATACGATTGGTTTTTACAAACTATGATCATGTTCTTGTTCTCCTTCACAAATGGTGCTTAGCAACCAATTACCCCTTCCATATGTCAATACCTGATCATCATCATGATTAATATCAACAGCAGCGACAAGCCTACCCTCCAAGCATTCTTGCAGGATCACAAGGCCTAGCTCCTCGAAATTTCGACCACTGTTATTCATGTCCACCTGCGCCATCAGCTCCTTGAGTTGCCTGGTAGTCATACGCACCTTAACTCTCAAACTGTTTGAGGATGTTCTATGACCGGTTAATCCTGGATCTTCAGCTGAGTGCAACCCCTTGCCTCTCCCAATCCAATTTCCCATTTTTCCTTTCGAGCTCTATTTTTTTAAATGAAATAAAGGATTAAACAAAATCAGCTCTTCAGAATAGGATAATGTAGGGCGTGAAGCGCAGCTTCTCAAGCTGTAATTTTCCTTCTTTCTTTCTTTGTCACTTGTGGGTGTTGATACTAACGAGTAGATGTGGATATCTTTTGAAGCTGGTTTAATAAAAGCAACTTGATCTGCTTGAAGCACACATCTCATCTCACCACAAGATATACATGTTTGTTAGAACGTAGCTAGAATATTCTATCAAAGCTGATAACTTTTGGTCAATTAGCAGCAGCAGAATTTTGGACATTTTTGTATTGGTCTTTTGATATTTCTGGCTTATAGTGGATTTTATAATCGTCCGATTATTCTTGTGCATTGTTTTATAGTTAATCATTGTAACATGGTTCATGTGTTTAAATATGTCCCACCATTTAAGGTTGAAAACTTTGACTCTACTTTAATAACTTGACATTCTCTTTATTTGACATTCGGTTACGAGTTCATACATAGGATCATTAATCGTGTCAATTTGGTGATCCAATAGCTAGCTGAGGTTGTGTATATTCGGGGTTAGAAATAGCATTGTAGGGTCGTTTTAGGATGTGAATGGCTTTTTCTCATGTCAACAACATTCATGGACTCAACGTTTGATTCTTCGGTTGACATAGAATATCATAAAAAAAATGTTGCATGTCATGAACAACATTACTAAAGCTTTTACACTTGGAAGCACAGTTATTAATTTACTGATATAGCTTGATCGAATATTTATGGAAATGATGACTATCTACACTTCGGTTCTTCTTTGTGACATTTTGGACTAATTCTTTATTGTTTACGTAATTTTACTTTCCTATATAATAGTGCATGATTGATTTGAAATGACATTGTTGATATTTCCGTCCATTTAGTGATGATAAGTAATCATTAGTTGTATACAACAAAAGATAAGATTAGGAAATAAAAACCGGCACAAACACCATAAAGGGGTATGTGCAATTATCACATAGAGAACGAGACTCTTCTTTCTTTAATTTTGATTGATGAGCTCAATACGATATTGTAGTCACAGTACCAGGCATTCAGATCGAACGTATTCCCACATGATTCACAACTATCTGTTGCATGTTTGTTGAGCCTCGTTCTAGAATCTAGTCATTGTGATGATAAGACTTTTTAGCATTATACCATATAAGCTGCCACAGTCATCGTTTTCTTTAGTAGCTCGTTGTATTAGAAACCGTATAGGAATATGAAACCCCGTCCGCCTACATGCAGTATCAATGCTTTTGGCGTCCCTCTAGGTGGTGCACGAGAACCATGTGTCGACATCATCAAAGTCACTCCCGTATCCACAATCTTGTGTCGAAGAAAAATTGAATCTTGTACCTATTTATAAGATATGGGATATATTTTATATTATCAATTAATTTTAGAGTAATGCTACATTTAATATCTATTTGTATCATCTTTTTAATAAAGCACTCATGTGGGTCTCATCTCAATTAGAAAGATGGTACAAATAGATGGTAAGAGTAGCATTTTTGTTAATTTTATGACATTTCAAATTTCTTTGTCAGTTTATTGTTTCAGACCAAGTTGGCTTATGTCTAAAGACCAAAGACCACAAGTGCTCTACATTACCTAATTTGTGTTGCCCATATGTTAGGCTTAAAAATTTGTCACATGTGAAACGGCGTGTTGAGAGTGAATTCCACATTAGAGAAATATGAGACCTTACATGTGATTAAAAGGAATTGACAAAGAAAGTTGAAAGGAACTTACAACTTGGAATACCCCTACAAGATCGTGAGGGTAGAAGGCAAAGGAACTTAAAACTTGGAGCGCATGGATGGAACTCCGATCACCAACATGTAGAACATCGCCAAATTCAGACGATAGTATGCTTAAAAACGCCACCATCTACGCATAGAAAAGTCCCTAGAAAACTCATCTCCTTATCACCTCATCATGGGCTTCTCGTCAAAGATGATCCCAATGACAATTTTTATTTTATTTTATTTTATATTTTATATTGTATCATCTTTAACCAATTGCACCAGTGATTTCATATTCTTGGAGATATATAGGCAGTCATTTTCGGTCATTCACGTCCTCTTTGCAAACATCTATTTTTCTTCAATAATATAATTCTTAGAGCTATGCTACATGTTTGTTCGTTCTTTCTCTTTTACTATGCATGGAATACCCAAAAGTTTCTTAAATAACATACTGCTGTGAATCTTCGTATGATTGCAAGTCTAAAAATTCAAAGTGAATAGTGTTAGAGGAGTCTCTTTTAGCCCATTCCTTATTTTTTGGTTAGCAACTTGGGAGGCTCGACCTAAATTAACTGCGGCTACGATTAGCAGGCTACAGGCATGAAGACATGGCCCTTGACTCGGAAGTCCAATACACCATCCAACTTTCAGAAAGATGATACAACCTAAGGGTGGCGAGTTATGACATTTAAAAATGGGTTCTACGCCATTCGAGGGAATGATCAAAATCGTGATTTAGGAATCATTCAAGGAGTGGCTCTAAGCCCTGACCCTGAGTACGATAACCTTTATCCCGGACCAACGTACTAAGCTAAGTACATTATACAACACCATGTCTTTAGCAGGTCTAAAGAGACATTTAGACTAGGAAATCCTTAAGAATTCGAGCCTCGATACGCAGAAATGCCTTAACCAAGCCAGCTAAGTGTAGTCCAATCGAAAATGTTCAGTTCCAATGCATAAGGTTTGACAAAAGAATCCTACAGGTGTTTCTGACCTACATGTAAGCGACCAAGTCCTTAACAAACTTTTGTTTAAGATTCTTTGGGGGAAACAAACCTTCACCCTTGGTTTGCTAATTTCCACAATGATATTCTGAAGCCGACTCGGTCAGGATCAACTCTTATGAGGGTTGACTGTCGCCAGAAGCTTTGCTTCACTGAAGAGTGAAGAGGGCTCTAATGAAGAACTCATTAAATAATCTCAACACCCTTCTAAAGCTTTATGCTAAGACTGCGAGTAGGGTGCTGCCGATACTTTAGTAAGTAATGAATGCAATGAAACACATCAAGATAAACAAGGTTGATTATTGAAATGTTATAGCTTATCTCTATTCCATTTGACTTTGCTTAAGAGGGATAGATACATATGTGATAAGAGCTTTTGGCAATGAATCCTAATCATTAAAAGCTCAAAATGAGAATTGAGTTTGGGAACTGAGGTGTGAGAAGGATGGAACCATGGCGAAAGCTAGAGGGAAGGATTTGAAAAAGTCAAGCCAAGGCTGGGCTATTTAAAGATGAATTGATAGGAGATCTCACTGTTGAATTCGAAGAGTTTTGCCTAGAGATTCATGTGTCGAAGGTTGACGTTGCTCGGCGATACAAAGGGAATGTCAAAAGTTCGCAAAGAACGAAGTCAAGATGCCCTGTGTCTAAAGAAAGAAAACAATACATATTCTAACTTACTTTGAAAAACATGGTCTCTAGGTAACTCCTTATACTTAAGAGGAACAAGTCATTTCAGATGCTTAGTTAGAGGCAATTGTGGGACCATAATTTTTCAGGACCGGAGTAAGGCAAACAATAATAGGTTTACCTCAGAAGTCTGGTCATGGACTCAACAGGCTCTTTTGTGGAGATGACTAAACGGATTTGTGATGCCACCATAATTCTATTTCGGGAGTAGTGGGTGAAGTCCGACGACTTCATTGAGATAGACTGTGCCTGTTCTTCAAGATTCGAGAACTTAATCTAGCAAAAAATTAGCAGGTTCCTTATAATCTTAGAGTCCTTACTATCTAAAGATTGGCATGCACCGTAAGTAAACTCCTATGATGATTCAATATCTACTTCCTAGATATCCTCTAGGATTCTTACAATTTAACAAAGATTCTACTATCCTAAAAGGTCATCTTCTCGATTGGTATAAATACACCGTTCTAGGATTCGTATATGGTAACATAATCTCTACTAGCGGTGGGCATGGGCCAGGCCCAATTTTGAAGGGATCGGACCGGACCGGACTCTGGTTTAAAAGAGAGGAGCCGGGCTGGGGATAACATATTCTAATAGAGGAATTGGACCTAACCCGGCCCGGTTGAAAAGGGTCGGTTCGGGCTGGGTCACAAAAAAGAAAAACTAAAATTTGCACAGATTCACTACCAGTGCAGTGTGCAGATTTTACAATTTGCACAAATTCACTCCCTGCACAGATTCACATCCAATCCAAACATTACAAAATCCAACATCCAAGTCCATAAATTAACAATACATCCCAAATAACAACATTACATTGTCTAACATCGTTCGATGCATTAAATCCAAGACATTCAAAATAACATCCAAAAGACATCTAAAGATCAAATCAACATACAAAATATCCAAGAGTTCGAGATATCCAAATTCCGATAGCACATATTAATTTTTTTACAACAACTGCACAGCAGCACAGATTGAAGAGAAAAAAAAAAACAGGAGCTGCACAAATTGCACAGGTTGAACACAAATCACACAGCACAGATTGAACACAAATCACATAGAACACTAGGCAAGCATAATAACCAAATTAGAAAAAGAAACTGAAAAAAAGATGTATGATATTAGAGATATACCTGAATAACTGTTTATTGTGGCTAACCCTTGCAGTATCTTGCAACTTAAATTCAACTCACTTGTCAGGATTAAGTGTTGAAAACACAGGAAACACATCTATTGAGCACGTTTCCATAACTTAAGCTTCAAATAATAAGTTTCTAATATTTAAAAACAAAACCATGTTGATGATACAAACAAAAGCCTTTCATTTAAATATTTCGACTTCTCGAAAGTCCAACCAACTTTCTTATTGTAATGGTCATGTTCTGTATGTGTTTGCATCGGATGTGCAGTAAGAGAGAGACTCACCAACTTTTGGGCTAGCTTGTTCTTTGATTTCGTCTAGATAAACCTGTGAAAAAATACGAGTGTTAATTTTTAAACAGAAACTAAACTCTTATTGACAAATGAGTTACTAGTACAGGCAGATCATCTAATATAACCTATACCAAAATGAGCAGGAAAACAACGAACGACTTTTTATCTCATTAGGAAGCTCATATTCCAAAATGTTACGAAAATTTCACTTAGAAAGGAACATACATGCCTAAAATGAAACACCATCAACTTCGATATTCACCTCACAATCACATAACCTTTAGCCTTAAAAAAAACCAAATGATCAAATTTCAACAATGAGAAACAAAGATAATCCAACAATAAGGTATATGATCACGTACGAAGATATAGATTATCCTGGGGTTTTTTACATTTTTGAAGCTATAAGATGCAAACATGTACTTGGTCTTAATACTAACTGATGATGAATGTCACAAACACAACACAATTTAAGCAACGAAACCGTTTTACCAAACACAAACCACCTTAAGCTTGAACAATCCCATTACTTTTCTTTTGTGAAAGTAGGAAACACAAAAGAAAGTTGAATACGAACCCATTAGCCAACAAATATATAACAAATAAATCAACATACAAAATCCAAATTAGATATACAGAAGCACACAGACAACCACAAACCCAGCCCTATAATTTATAAATTATAAATAAACAAACAATCTGATTAAAACTCAGATGACTGAACAATCTGATTAAAACCACATTACTTCACATATAAATGAACAATCTAATCAAAACCCAGATGAAATGAGCGGGAGAAATTACCAAATCCGGTGAGGAATAGTAGCAGAGGTAGGAGATTTATTCGGAGACAGCTGCAACAGCTCCGAAAGGAATACGAAAGTTGGACTTCGATTGTACACAGACGACCATAAACCCGTCCCTATGATGTCGCGACGGCGGTGTTGTCGTCAAGGAGGAGAGAAGGAGAATCGAGAAGATGGGTGGGGACGACGCATGCTTGACAGCAAGAGAGAATTGAGTTTGAGGTCTCGTCTTTGGTGACAAAGTCGAGGACTCAAGATGAGAGAGAGAGAGAGAGAGAGAGTAAAACTAACGGTTCGGATTGGATGGTAGCTTATTCTTCAATCTCGTCTGTCCATTGTAATTACAAACGGGCCAGTTTGGGTACCCATTTTTCTATGCTTTTAGAATCGGCCCGCCTCTAAATTTTCAAAGCCCCGCCCCCGGTTCTCTTTTTAAAAATTAGGAATCAACCCGTACTCATCCCGAACCTTGATTACCCGTCCCAACCCACTGTTCCTATACTCGTTTGCCCACCCATAATCTCTACATACTTATTATCTTACCCACTGCTTGAGTCATAATATTTCTTACTAACTTAACCATCCGAGAGCCTTTGATCGGTACACTCCTCCGGTCTTTGGCTTGATTATGGCTGTTTGTTCTTGTACAAATAACTTGGATTGTGCATCTTCACCTCTTATGGTGGTGCGTGAATTTAGTTCTAACAATAATAACTTTTATTTTTTTAACCATTTAGTTGTTTAGCAGATGCTTAAGAAAATAAGGAGATAACAAGAGGTTGTCTCCATAATGAAAAGTACAATTTTAATAGGCCTTCATGTGAACTACTTCGTTAATTCGGCTGAAAAGGTTCATATTATTGTCTCGACGAGCATCAATAAATTACATTCGACTACACAAGCCGATCCTCCAGGTTGTAAAGGTGTTGGTTCGGTGATTAGCTAGAGACATGTTTAATTTCCTTAACCATTCAATATGCAGGCCGAAGCTCAAGGAAATCGGGGGAGGGGGCCAATGTTTGGACATGATTTTTACACTATCGACCCATATGTTTGGAGCCGTTAGAATGAAAGAAGATTAAGATGAATTTTAATAATCATGGTATTATCTGAAGATTTATTGGCAATTATCTTGAAAGTGCGGGCATAATTAAGGAGTCTTAGAGATTGAGATGGCATCGGGTTTTATAATATCAATATAAGGCTTGACTGGCAATGGTAAAATTATCATTTTTTTTTTTTTTTTTTTGTTTTTTTTTTGTTTTTTTGTTTTTTTTTTTTTTTTGAACCAAACGATATTATCTATACTAAGGGGAATGAGGTAGGCTTAGCCTCACATTGAACTAGCAATAATATGATTCAAATTTGTCTTTGACGAGAATCGAACCTAAAACCTCTTATTTACAAGTGAAGAGGAATACCACTAGACAGTATCTTGATAGTTTGTTTAGGAAATTATCAAGAAAAAGCCGAATGTCAACATAATATTGAAGATAATTACAAAAGTTAGTCTGTACGTGATAATATAGATTTGACAGCAAATTGCATTAAGATAATTGAAAAAAAGTTGGATTGGCAATGAGGAACTAGAAGGTGATTTCAAGTATGAATGAGGATTCTTTCCGGATTCTTTTTGTGAAGATTTCGATGATTATTTAATCGTGTCAGCTCATCGTATATCGTGCAGTCAGTTTTTGTTAGGTACTCTTTATGTTCAATTTTAAATAAAAAAATTTATAATAATTTTTTTATTGCACGATATACGATAAATGAACACGATTGGAGGATTTCCAGAATCCTCACAAAGAGAATTCGGAGAGGATCCTTATTCTTTTGACTATATCAAGATAATATCCAATGAATTGTAATGCGACACTCTACAATACGACTTAGGCATTAAGGAATTTGCTCCTATAAATACAGGAGGGTTTGCAATGTGGAAATGATGGGGTATTCGAATGTCTTTAATGTGGCTTGAGTCTATAGTGGAATGATTCGATCACAGTGGAAGTAATGGAATCCTTGAAACACTTTATTGATGCTAGATTCACTTTCAACGACTCCCACAGTGTGCATCAATTTATGGGAGTTTATGGAACTTCATACCGAGCAGAAAAAAGATGAGTTTTAGCGAGGGATGATTCGGAATTTTTCCCCAGAGAGTATCCCCTGGTTATGTGGTGGTGATTTTAATGAGTTTTTATAGGATTGGAAAAAATTGGGTGGAGCGGAAGTGAGATACAATATAACTCAGTACTTATAGGACTTCATGAGTAAAATGGAGGTCATGGATTTGGGTTTCAATGAACCGCTATTCACGTGGAGAGGGATGAGAAATGGGCAACTAGTTGAAGCTCATCTTGATCAAGGTCTAGTTAATAGACATTGGCAATCATTATGGCCAAATACCATGGCCACTCATGGCACAATGTTGGGATCTGACCATTGCCCAATTTTGGTCCACTGTGAGCCGAATGAGGTAAGAAGGAATTTTTTTTTCTTTTTTTTTTTTTTTTTTTTTTGGCACTTTGAGGCTTTCTAGGAAAAGGAATCTAATTGCTGTGAGGTGGTAAAAGGGAGTTGGAAGGTGTGGCAGAATGAAGATAGTATGGATAGCTGGCATCAGAAGATCAATGATTGCCGTGATAAGTTGGTAAGATGAAGCAAAGGAAAATTCAAACAAAGGGGTAGACAAATTGAGGAGATGATGGAGAAACTTAGGTTCCTTCAAGAATATTTTGGGGGGAGGGGGTAGTGGGTTCGCTTGGACTATGCTATGTATGAATGATCTTTTATTTTTTATAGGAGATCTTGGTCCTTTATGAGATCGAAGTGCTTATGAAGAAGGTGGATTGGCTATGGAGTCAAGAAGAGAGTTTCTGGCAACAAAGGTCGAGAATAAAATGGCTACAAAAAGGGGATGCTAATACTTTGTTCTTCCATCAATCCACCATGCAAAGACGAAGGCAGAACAAAGTAGTTTCTCTCAAGGCTGATAGCGGGGAATGGGTGGACAACCCACAAGTGGTCTGATGTATCATTGACAGCCATTTCATCAATATGTTTACTTCAGTGGGGCAGAGGGAGTGGCATTTGGCAGTAGATTGCGTCACCTCCAAAGTTACTGCGGAGATGAACGAGACCCTCACCGTTCTGGTTTCGATGAAGGAAATTAAGCAAGCAGCTTTAGAGATGTATGAAAGCCCCGGGTCCTGATGGTTTTTCAGGGTATATTCTTTCACTCTTACTGGGATATCATTGTAAAAGATGTGAATGAGTTAATTGAAGACTTGATGAATGGTAGACAGAACCCCATCCGTCTAAATGCTACTCATGTGGTGTTGATCCCCAAGGTGCAAAACCCGGAAAATGTAAATCTATTCCGCCCTATTAGCTTGTGTAACTATTCATACAAGATTCTTTCAAAGCTGATGGCAAACCGGCTAAGGCTTCTTTTGCCGACTTTATTTTCCACAACTCAAAATGTGTTTGTAGCCGAAAGACAAATTCAAGATAACATTGGTATAGCGCATGAGATCTTCCACTTTCTCAAGCTAAGGAAAACAAAAAGGAAATTCGAACTTGGAGTCAAGTTGGATATGCATAAAGTGTATGATCGTGTTGAATGGGATTTCTTAATGGTGGTGATAGAGAAAATGGGTTTTGATAGTAGGTGGAGAAATCTCATTATGGCATGTATATCTTTGGTGAACTTTGCCGTTCTCCTCAATTGTTAATCCGACTCCAAATTTGCTTCTTCACAAGGCCTTTGGCAGGGAGACCCTCTGTCCCCTTATTTTTATTGGTAAGTGAGGTATTATCACTACTTATGTAGCAGGCAAGTGAGACGGAGAAAATAAAAGGAGTGCAAATGAGCCACAACGGTCCGGTCATATCGTATTTATTTTTTGCGGATGATACTCTAATTTTCTTGAAGGCGGAGAAGGATAATTGAAGAAATCTTGTCCGATTACTTGATGAGTATTGCTTCGCATCGGGCCAGCAAGTTAATTTGCATTAGTCAGATGTGTTCTTTGGAAAAAAATGTACCAACGGTTTTGGTGGATGAATTAACTGGTATTTTGGGAATAGAAAAGGTGGAAGACCCGAGGGTGTACCTGGGAGTTCTGGCTATTTGGGGCCGGTCAAAGAAATGTAAATTGGCCTATGTGAAGGGGCAACTATTGGGGAAAATTCAAGGGTATCAACTGCTGGGAGAAAGATGTTGATCAAGGTTATGGCATAAGCTATTCCAGCATATTTGATGAACCTGTTTAAATACCCCATAACATTCTGCAAGGAGTTATAGATGCTATGATAGTTGATTTTTGGTGGGGACAAAAAGAAGAACATCGGATCCATTGGGTTTCTAAAGATAATCTGTGCAGGTCAAGCAGATGGAGGGCTTGGGTTCATAAATTTTGTGGATTTTAATGATGCCCTTTTGGCGAAGCAACGCTGGAGATAATTTTCGAGCCAAATTCCAAATAGGTTGAGGTCCTTAAAGCACAATATTTTCTTAATTGTTTGTTCCTGACTGCGAAACGGGGTGGAAGAGCATCGTGGGCTTGGTTTAGCCTCCTAGCTGGACGAGACATATTGCTTGGGGGTGCACATTGGTAGATTATGAATGGTAGAGATGTGCGAGTTTGGATTGACAAGGGGAATTTTTCTGTCAAATCTGGATACCATTAGGCTATTTCGAAGAGACCAACTCGTGGAAGCCCCGGCCTGTCATCCTCTACTTCTATTCCCAACTCTCTTTGGAAAGTAATTTGGAAACTACAAACAACACCGAAAATTCGGTGTTTCATGTGGAAATCCCTTCACTCGGCCATTGCAACCATGGAGAATTTACTCAAGTAGAGATTGGCTCAATCACCTGTATGCCCATTATATAATAGTAATGAGGAGTCAGTCGAGCACCTATTCATCCTTTGTCCTTGGGTTGAATTAGTTTGGTTTGACGGTCATTTCAATTTCCAACATGGCAAGAGCCTTCATTGAAGCTTATTGCTCAACATCCCTGCGCTCGATAACCCAGCAGCTGATGTGGTATTATGGACTCCACCTTGTCTGGAGTTCATAAAAATCAATGTCGATGCTAGTTAGATGCCAAGTTTGAGATCTGGTTTTGCAGGTGTGGTTGCGCGGAATATGGAAGTGAGTCTCCTGGTAGCATGTAGATACGATATCAACGCAAATAATGCAGCTATGGTGGAAGCAAAGGCGATTCTCCATGGATGT